CTACAGTTATGGGAAAGCTTTCGGTTTGTCCTTCATGAGTTCTTACGGCAGTCTTTGCTCCTTCATACATATCCTTTATAGCTTGGATATATGCTACTCGTACTCCTTTCTTCTCTAAAATCCTCCAAAGAATGTCTCTTGGGACCCTATCATACGCTTTTTTCCAAATCTATAAAGACCATGTGTAAATCCTTTTTCTCATCTCTATATCTTTCCATCAATCTTCGTAAGAGATAGATTGCCTCCATGGTTGAGCGCCCTGGCATGAACCCGAATTGGTTGTCCGAAACCCGTGTCTCTTGCCTCAATCTATGCTCAATGACTCTCTCCCAGAGCTTCATTGTATGACTCATTAGCTTAATACCCCTATAGTTCATGCAATTTTGTACGTCGCCCTTATTCTTGTAGATAGGCACCAAAGTGCTCGTTCGCCACTCATTTGGCATCTTCTTCGTTTTCAAAATCCTATTGAAAAGGTCAGTGAGCCATGTTATACCTGTCTCTCCCAAAAGTTTCCACACTTCGATTGGTATATCGTCTGGGCCTATTGCTTTTTTATGCTTCATCTTCTTCAAAGCTACAACCACTTCTTCCTTCCGGATTCGACGATAAAAAGAGTAGTTTCTACACTCTTCTGAGTTACTCAACTCCCCTAACGAAGCACTCATTTCATGTCCTTCATTGAAGAGATTATGAAAATAACCTCTCCATCTGTCTTTAACCGCGTTCTCTGTAGCAAGAACCTTTCCATCCTCATCCTTGATGCACCTCACTTGGTTTAGGTCCCTTGTCTTCTTTTCCCTTGCTCTAGATAGTTTATAGATATCCAACTCTCCTTCTTTGGTATCTAGTCGTTTATACATATCGTCGTAAGCCGCTAACTTAGCTTCTTCTCTGACAGCTTTCTTCGCCTCTTGCTTCGCTTTTCTATACCTTTCACCATTTTCATCGGTCCTCTCCTTGTATAAGGCTTTACAACATTCCTTCTTAGCCTTCACCTTTGTTTGTACCTCCTCATTCCACCACCAAGATTCCTTTTGGTGTGGGGCAAAGCCCTTGGACTCTCCTAATACCTCTTTTGCTACTTTTCGGATACAACTAGCCATGGAATCCCACATTTGGCTAGCTTCCCCCTCTCTATCCCACACACATTGGGTGATTACCTTCTCTTTGAAAATAGCTTGTTTTTCTTCTTTTAGATTCCACCATCTAGTCCTTGGGCACTTCCAAGTCTTGTTCTTTTGTCTTACTCTTTTGATATGTACATCCATCACCAACAAGCGATGTTGATTAGCCACGCTCTCTCCTGGTATAACTTTGCAATCCTTACAAGTTATACGATCCCCTTTCCTCATTAGAAGAAAATCTATTTGTGTTTTTGACGACCCACTCTTGTAGGTGATCACATGTTCTTCTCTCTTCTTAAAGAAGGTGTTGGCTAAGAAGAGATCATATGCCATTGCAAAATCCAAGATAGCTTTCCCATCCTCGTTTTCTCTCCCCAAAACCATGGCCACCATGAAAACCTCCATAGTTGCCTGTCTTCCTGCCCACGTGTCCATTTAAATCTCCTCCTATAAATAACTTCTCCGTCTGAGCAATTCCTTGCACCAAGTCTCCAAGATCTTCCCAAAATTTCTCCTTCGAACTCGTATCCAACCCTACTTGAGGTGCGTACGCACTAATCACATTGATAAGTTCTTGTCCTATTACAATCTTGATTGCCATGATTCTATCTCCTACCCTCTTGACATCTACAACATCTTGTACCAAGGTCTTGTCCACGATGATGCCAACACCGTTTCTCGTTCTATTTGTGCCCGAATACCAAAGTTTAAACCCTGAGTTTTCTAGATCATTTGCCTTACTACCAACCCACTTAGTTTCTTGTAGGCACATAATATTTATCCTTCTCCTCACCATAAACTTCCACTACTTCCATAGATTTTCCCGTTAAGGTTCCTATATTCCACGTTCCTAAACGCATTTTGCTCTCTTGAACTCTACCCTTCTGTCCTAGCTTCTTCACCCTCCCCCGTCTAATAGGATCAAAGTACTTCTTTTGTGTGTCCCGGGTAAAGTTGATAGGAGCATATGCTCCCAAACAACTTTGAGTGGAGTCGTTCGAAAAGAAGTTTCTATGGCCCCCTTGCTCATTTAACACTGCATCCGGGTGCCGATGGAGATACAGCGACCCTTGCTCACTTATCACTGTGCTCGGGCCACACAGCGCGCCACTTACGGGTGACGCCCTAGCTTTAGCGCGATTTTGTTCTGGATTCATTTTCATAAGGATTCGACGTGATCATGGAGTGCCGGCTGTCGACTACCTGACGCCCTCCCCCTCCTCCTTTATCCGGGCTTGGGACCGGCCATGTAAGACATAGGCGGAGTTGTGCACAGTTAACCAATCTAGAAAAAATGATATGTTTATACAAATGAAATGGTGGGGCTATAAAGATAATATAACCAGTATATTAAAACGTCCGATCAGTTTGACAATCAAATTTAATGTAGGATCTCTATTGTCAAAAGAAAAGATAGACCCCAGATATATGTAAGTTATCTTCCTCTCGTTAGTGTGGGATCATTGACCCAAGGCTTGGAGTGGGGGAGCATTTTGCTGTAAACTTGTGATGCGGCGTGGATGTGACTAGTTCAAAGATAGTATTAGTTTGTAGTCACGTTTTCAGTTTAGTCTTATAGTGTTTCACGTTTAAAAAGATAGGTCAACCAAATGTTAAATGTCAAATACACCCTTGTTCCATCTGATTTTTTAAAGTCATTTGTCTGTCAGCTTCACTTTTGTTGTTTTGTTTTATCTTGTCTCTCGCTATTTTGTTTATTTGCAGTATTTAGTTCTTTAATATTTTTTTTTTAAAAAAGAACGAGTTGTGTCTCAACCTCCTTAGTCAATCATCGTGTAATTCAACAACGTTATAAATTAAATTTAAACAGTATCATATAAAAATCTCTACATTTTTTTTCTTAACTTTTTATCACAATGTATATATCTGTGTCAATAACCACTATATGAAGATGCATTTTTTTATGATTAAAACTGTTATGTTTATAAATACCAGAAGGTTATGCAATGTGATGTGGCAGAAGAAATAGGACGAGAATATATATAGTATTTGGGATGGGATTGGATTGGATTGGATTTTGTAAAGGTCAAGGTGTGTAAATTTAAGAGCATCTCTAATGACTCCCACTGCTAATTTTGAAGACTTATTTAGGCATTTTAAGGGAATATTAGGGTTCCTAAAAGAATATTGTCCGCAATGAAGGTCTTTATAGTATAATTCTTAGATGTAAGGACTAAAATATTAGAAAATTATTGTTCACTTCGTTGTAGTATTGTGGCCGTTAATAAAAACTAATAACCTATCCAACAGTTAAAAAAATGAAGTTCCAGAAATCATTCATGTGGGTGGGTTCAAAAAAAAAAAAAAAAAAAAAAAACAAACAAAAAAGGAGTTGTCGTGTAACATTCATACATGAGTAGGTTTGTTTCCCACTCAAAATACACAGTGGGACTCACTCTTTGAGTCCCTATATACAGTCTTCACATTTGAGGATTTCTTTGAGATGTCCCTATATATGGGATATTTTGAGAACTTCTATTCAAAACCATTGGAGGTCTATTGTTCGTATTTATTAAGCTAGCAAAATAGAAATACATTTATCTTACTATTAATTAGATTTGGTAATTTTTTGTATGACCCGTTAATTTGACACGAAATAACACAAAAATAACAGGTTTCGGGTCAACCTATTAGCAGGCCACGTCATTATCGAGTTACATGTTAAGAACACGTAACGAATCGGGTCACCACTTAAGAAATTGTTAAGATAACATGTATGATACATAAACAACATGAACATGACATGTTTGCAAGGTTAAGACATTAGGTATAATAATAATTTCTTGCATGACCCATAAACCCGACACGAAATGACACGACCCCGTCACAAGTTGTGTCGTTGTTAGGTCACCTATTAAGAACTCATTAAGATAAAAGATTTGACACAACACAATACATTAAGATAACTTGTATGACACGAAAACAATATGAATATTGAACACGACAAACACGACCCGTTTGCCCAAAATTAAGTCTTCTTCTAGAATTTGAATTAACAAAAAGACATTCTTACCACTCAGTACTACGGTCTGATGATATTCCTCTTCACTTGGAAGTGAGATGTCTTAGATTCGAATCTCGTGAATAACAAATTTAATAACAAATTAGGTTACCCATTGTGTGGTTTTGCCTGTCTCCCTCTCTCCTTAATGTAAAAATATCAATGTACTAAAAAAAAAAAAAAAAAAAAAAACTTTCGTAACGTATTTTGAATGTTTCCCCAAACTCTTATTCCTATACATAGATTATCTCATTTTCCTTTATAATTTCAATTTATTACAAAATCGTCTAAATAAATAATGTTTATATTAGAAATTATCTCAAATATGTGACCTCTTGCAATGTGATGCAACCTTTTACTTCTTTCCATACGAACCTCCTCCCTCCCTCTTTTTCTCTTTATTTTCATTTTAGTTTCGTGGAATTTTCTTTTCTTAATTAATTGTTAAAACAAAATATCGAACAGAAAAACCAAATTTTATTTTTGATGGAAATAAAAATAGGCAAAAGTTAAAAACAAATTCGCACCCTCTGGCAACTGGGTACCTTATATGTCAAATGACAAAAATACCCCTAAGAAGAACCAACTGCGAAACGGTAATTGAGGAATCCCGAGAAATCCCTTCCGCTCTCCCCCACAGACTTGCGTGTAAAATTGTAAGGAGGCGTCCATCGCAAGAAATCCTCCTTTTTTTTCTTTTAAAAATCCAAATCTCTGTTCATCTCTCATATATTAATTAAATTAATTAATTAACCTAAATCTGATCCTGTTGTGGATTAACAGCTTAACTCCCCAAAACTCCGTTGTATATATATAGGAATCGATACATATACTGATATACAAATATAGCATTTCTAGAAATTTGGCAATTCTTCCCGTCTCAAACTCCCTGCGAATCTCTCTCTCTCTCTCTCTATCTCTCTTGTTTCTCTCTCCTCGAAACACATTTTCCTTCACAGAATCAGAGTAAATAAAACCCCATTTCTTCTCAAAGAATAATATTAATCCCTTCCTTCTTGCTGTTTTATTGGAACTCCTCACTTGGTGGGCATTTGTGGTTCTATTTCTTCCTTTTAACTTGTTCTCAACGAGAAGGTGAGTCGATCAACGCTGGCCCGTCTTTCTGAAATCTCGACGTTCTATGCGTTTCGGGGTTCGAAGCAATGCAACTGTGGGGTTGATTTAAAAGTTCGGTTTCGTGTTGCAGGGATATAATTTATGTGTGTTGGTGTTTGATGTGAAGAGATTGAAAGATGTTGGGAAGCTTGCTAACCAGAATTCTTATGTATGTTAATGTTTTTTCATTAACGTTAATCCAGTTTTGGATCTTGATCTTCGACTTTACTTTTGGTTTTGTTTTTCGGGTTGGTTTTGACTTGTTTTGTTGGGGGGTGTGCAGATTGTTTCTTGGGTATGCATACCCAGCATTTGAGTGCTACAAAACAGTGGAGAAGAACAGAGTTGAGATTGAAGAACTCCGGTTTTGGTGTCAATACTGGTACGTAATTAAAAACCCAGTCGTTTTAGTCATATGCCAATATGGTAAGAGTCTTATATGAAAAGAAGATGTCAATATGACGATATTTCAAACCAACCATGTGACGTTGGAAAAAATTAAGGGGATTTTAACGAAAAGCTCTCGGTACTGTTTACTTTGACGAAAAACCACATTTTTACACTAAAAAGTCAATCTTAGTACTATTTACTTTACCCTTTATTTTGTCATTATCGTTAAAACTCAAAGTTTTCAAGTCATTTTTATTAGTTTTCATAAAAATTAAAGCACAAGGCAACACGTGATAGGTTTGAGACTCTGTTGTTTTGACATATTCGATTTATGTTCTTCCCCTTATAGGGTTGGTATGGTTGATGTTTGAAATTCATTTTGGTTCCGTTTTGGAAGAGTATTTTCATGTTTTGGTTGTCATCTCATATTGGTTAAGTTCAGATCCTTGGGTAGCAATTCGACCAATAATTTGTTCGTTATTTATTTATTTTTTATCTAAAAATGATTCATGAGATTGACATAACTTCTCATTTTGATTTTCGAGTTTGTCCACTACAATCAGTCATTTTGATCATTTTGTGAAAAATTTCCGTTAAATAAGGATAAAATGACAAAAATGCTCTCAATTTTGTCAAATTATTTTGGCCCAGTGTTTATTAAATTGAGGGTATTTTTTTGTTATTTTATCCTCATTGAGGGTATTTTTGTCATTTTATCTTTATTTAACATAGATTTTTCACAAAATGACCAAAATAATTGATGGTGGACAAACTCAGAGACCAAAGTGAGGAGTTATACCAATTTCAAAGATAATTTTGACTAAAATGCCTTAAAATATAGAAGAAAAAGTATAGAGAGAAAATGTTGTAGATTCAATTTTAATGTAAAAATAAACTTTACCTTATCTGAATAATTATACGTATCTGAAGTTTATTTTGATGAAATTAATGTTTTTATTTTATCCGAGTTCCTTCTTTTTCTTTTGAGTCCCTATCATTGTAAACATATCATTAAAGCATTTTGGTGTCTTATGTGGATGTATAGTTACATGTTGTGGGCATGTTTGATTGAGCTCTAAATTGGTAATGTCTAGTTGAATATGCAATAACGACATGTCGTTTTCACAGGATAATTGTGGCAATGCTCACAGTTCTTGAGAGGGCTGGAGATGTATTCATCTCATGGTACAAGTCACTCTCTTACTATAAACTCATTTTGCATACCACATTTTAAATTTAATTTGACATTTGAATTGTGAAAATTTGAAGGTTGCCCATGTATGGTGAAGGGAAGGTGGCCCTTTTTATATACCTATGGTGTCCAAAGACCAAGGTAAGAAACACATAACGCCTCGCTAGACTTATGTTAGCAAACTGTGAATTTGAAGACGATCGATTATACATTCCGTCAACTCTGACAACATAAAATGACAATTTGAAATGTGCATACTTTGTGCTAGACTTATGCTAGCAGACTATAAGTCCGACCGACTACACAAACATTAAGATAACAATTAACCTGATTAGAGGTCCACATTCATAGTCTGACAATATAAAGACGGTTGCACGGATTTTCAATTTGACTCATTGGAATGGCGTTTGAAATGCGGTTGCAGGGAACTTTCTTTGTGTACAAGACCTTCCTGAGGCCATATGTAGCAAAGCATGAGACAGACATAGACAGGAAGTTGCTGGAGATGAGAGCAAGAGCCTGGGATTTGACGGTACTCTACTGGCAGAACTTCGCCCAATATGGCCACGCTGCTTTCCTCCAAGCCCTTCGGTACATGGCTGCTAACTCCGCAAAGTTCGCCACCAAACCCACCACCGAGGTACGCCACATTCACAGTGCAATTCAATTGTCGGGTTTTTCCAGTATCGATCGAAGTTTAGTATGTATGTGCCGGAATTCTTGATCGCACATTCAGTCGTTCATTCACCTGGTTCATGCTATGCGTGATCACATACAATTCTCAGCAAGAAACAGTTTCTCGTACACGAAAACAAAGATTTGAATTCTCCTGGGAAACAAGTTACTGAAAATTCATTGTTTTTTTTAACCAACCTCGCAGTCGCAGACAGTCGATGATGATCAGCAGGACACAGCAGCGCCGCTACGTAAACCGAGCGGGAAGAACAAGTGGCAGCCAGGATCCCCACCAGCAACACCAAATGGCAGAGCCACCACAGTCAACCGCGCCATGTCTGAGACTCCGAGGTCCCCCAAGGTGGTTCATCCCCGACATCAAACGGATGGTGGGCAGGTTGACGAGTTGACTGAGAAGCTCCGGCTCAGGCGTTCTAAGCCAATCCAGTGAGAGAGATTAGATTGTAATCACAAAAAACAAGAACAAAAATTGTACAAAACCCAGAAACAGAAATCGATTGATTGATTCATCGAACTCCGAATTCAAATTTAAATTCAAATTCTTTCATTCAATTGTGTTTTCTTTTGAGCCGAAGTATATACAGATGAACAAAAATGGCAGACTGGGTTAGGTGGCGAGCCCGGTACAGAGGAGTGTGCGGCGGAGGGCTCGGGAGAGGAGGGGGACGATGCGGTTGGTGAAGAAGGAGAGGCAGGGGGAGAGCTTTTGGCAGAGGCGGCGAAGGAAGTTTGGGCCCGATGGGCCGGAGGTGGAGGACATGGGCTGGAGGTAGGCCCAGGCGGCCTGTTTCACGAGGCGGTTGCGGATGGAGATTTCGTAGCCGGAGTTGTTGGCGGAGGCGGCGGTGGGGGAGTTAGCGGCGGAGGAGGGGAGCAGGTCTTTGAGAGAAGTGTAGGATTCGGAGCTCTTGTGGGAGAGGAACTCCAGGTCCAGTTGAGGGGGTGCTGGGGGCGAAACGTCACCGTTTGGGAAGGTGGAGCTGTGGAGGCGCTGGAGATGCTTGGTCGCTGAGGTGGGAGTGGTGGTGTCGGAGAGGAGGCTGAGCTTGGCGGGGACCACCACGGAAGTGGAGATGGAGTTTCTGCGGCCGAGCTTGCTTGACGGGAGTAGTGGGCCCGCCGGGTATGAGCTGAGTAGGGTGGAATCGTCCATAGTAGAGCAGCTGAAAGCAAAGCAGAAGAAGAAACAACAAAATATGAGAGAGAGAGAGGGAGAGAGGGAGAGAGGGAGGGAATGGAACGTGAAACGCGGGGTTGGGTTTCCCGCGGGGTGCGTTTTGGCAATAATTGGCCTAAAACAAACGTCGTTTTTGTCTCTAAGCGTATAACACTATCTTATCTTATTATTTGTTTTAAAAGATTGATGTTTGCGGTCCCGCGAATTTCTGGTTGGGGCCACCGGGGCCACCCGCATGCGCTCAAATCCTAGTTGCAACTTGAAAGGAGAGGGAGGCTGCGCACACTACTAGTCAACAAGTAAACTCGATACTAGGATGGAAGTTATGCTTGGAAACTAATGGAACAAGAGAAATACTAATGAAACTCTCTTAAGTTAGATTTTTTATAGATACCGGAACTGATAACATAGCGAAAAAACTTTTGAAAATGAGTTTAAATTGTTGGAGTGTTAAAGTATTTATATTGATCAATCATGTCATATAGGTCATTTAACGTTAATTTATGTCCGAAGGCATTCTTGGAGTGACCTCGTAGTTCCTATGGGGTGGAGACGATGGGGTCTGTCCATAGATTTTCTTCTTTTGGCCGCATTTCTTTCAAACAGTTGAAGTGAGATAGCGCATCAAGCTATTCGCAAGGACCAGCTTGATCCTCTTCTCCAATGATCCCAGATGAGGGAACCTTAATAAAGCGTCGATATTATAAAATATAGTGTAAAACACATAAGGTGACAGAGCCCTTAGAAAGTCTCACTTTTGAGAATGTCTCTTTAACATTTCTCATGGAACAATTCTTCACGCACAAGACGTCGATTGCATTTCTCTAAAAGAACTAGATATGAATCAGGGATGGTCAATGGGTGTCCATAAATACTCCAGTCCACATCACCATTAGCACCATCACACACAAATATCACCACTAACTATCGCAATTATCACAAATCTATACTTAAATGTATCAATGTTATTGAAAATTACAGCTATACCTTAGGGTTGTATTTCAAGGATCGAAACACTTGACAGGATAACTGCATATCGTTGGGACCTGGAAAAGCAGGTGCTAGTAGAGACAAAATAGAGACAGCATTGGTGCACGATGGATATAAACCGATTAGTGTTGTAATAAGGAGACACGAAACCCGGACAATAACATTCTTAAGAAAATAGAATCAGATTAAACTCAGGACTAGAAAATCTCTGCTGCCGTAACAATATCCAGCATGCCTGTCCTGCGACATGTTTAAAATCACAGCATTTACAGACAAGGATTCCAAACAGAACCCCCCACGGTGTATGCATGCAGTAAACAATGAGCATGCATCGTACAACTAGATTATGCCATTTAGATTCAGCATTACTTTTCTCCCGTATGTAGCGCTGCCTACCGTTATTGGATGTGCCATCCCTCAATGTTTCGTTCCTCGCTGAATATCCGCCGCTTCTACGGTTTAACGATCAACTCTTTATTCCTACAACAGGGTTCTAAGACATACTGAACTGTACAGTATAACAATAACTCCCAGCTTGTCATCCATAAACTTCTTCCAAATGCATTGCCGGTGTTGCATCTAGCAATACTCGACAGTGATGGAAGGCGGCCGATGGGGTAGATACATGAGATTTCTACAGATACTCCGTTACACAAACGAAGATTCACCTTTGAGTGAAGTTAACAGCATGAGATGGGACTTCAACAACCCTAGATGGAGGAGTTTGCGGCCTTGAAGTACTAACATCAGTCACTCCAAAGTCAGCATGAAGAATGTCCGTCCCATTCCATCCAACACCAGCTGAAGTTGTTATAGTGAAGGAACTGATCATTCACACAGTGAAGTATTAATTTAATTGAAAAGAAAACAGAAAGAGTGGGAAGAGAGTGAAAAGAAAAAGGGGGAACAATTTTGAAAAAGGATACAATCCGTCCTCCACATATCTGTAATGCTAACTTCGGCATCAGACAAAAGCCAGTAGTCTGCATCATTCTGTAACAATAACAAAAAAATATTTAGTATTAGCAAGACTCTAAATATTTTGTCTATGTATACATGGTTCTGAAAAATCTTTTACGGGAGCATATGGAACTCCGCTTGCTCTATTTTTCTGGCAAAGGTTGCAATAGGTCCGACAAAAGCATCCATGTAACAAGTCTTCCTATATTTTGCTCAGCTTTCTGATATCATCATACAAACATATAAAAGCGTACGTCTTATGTTGTACCTTCATATAACTATGTGAGAAGTAGTCCAGTTAACAATCTTCAAATCTGAGACTTATACGGAAGCTACACTAATTCTCTTGTCATTGTCAATAGTTGACTTTCAGTCTTGGAATGATGTTTTTCTCTTTTACCTTTGCAAGTTACATAAGAAGACAAATCAGTCAGAACAACTATACTTACATCAACATCAGAAGGAACAATCTTCATCATTCCCCCAGCAAACTCCTGAGAAGCGTTCATGTCAGAGCACGTGTGATGAACCTGTTGCAGCCAAGGCTCAATTTCCTTCCCGCTGCTTTCCACAGTTACCACTTCTGTTGTTGAATGTTCGTTGGACCCAGAACCAGAAGCAATTGGGAAGTTCACAGGTGGTTCAGCACCATGCACATCCTCGAACTTTTCCTCAAATTGACTAACACCAAATAATACACGCAAAACAATACACAAATAAATAAAAAGGGAGAGGACCTCAAATGTAAAACGATGTTCGTCCACAAAAGAAAAAAAAGGAAACCATACCTGACAAGGTAGACATCAATGGGCCCCATTGTGCTTCTAAGTATTATCCTGTATCTCCTCTGTGGATAGTCAACAGCCTGGTGCATATTGAAGAAGAATTCAGTTATGTATCAAAGAGAAAAGGAATATAAAACATTTACCTTCAGAAAAATTTATGCTTGACTTACTTCATCAGGATCTGGGACTTCCAAGGTGGTTCCATGTGGAGCTTTAATTGCTATCAGGGTTTCATTCTGAAAAAGAAAAGGCGTAATTAACCTAATGGAAAACACTAAACCATCATAGAAATCAGTGTTAGATGTGATGTGTGGAACTCACGTGGAAGCAAGGTAGGCCCTTAATGTCATCTTCAGTCACAAAAAGCCACCTAGAGTAAGAGTAGAAGATAAGAATCTATTTATATACATAGAAGCAAGTGACTAACAATACAAACATAAAAAAGAAAGACAAATTATATGAGAAAATCAATGGACAAGATGATACTTTCGGTTGTTTTCATTTTCGCTCAAATCCCTCAACTTTTCTTGCATCTCTCTGCACAAGGGTGGAGGCGTCAGCACTTTTCAAAAGTCTCGAGACAGAAAATTGGAGTCCAAAAAGAAAATTAACCACATAAACCTTATTCGATCATCTAATCTGCGCTCTTGTAAGGATAGGTTTTCAACTTCTGCCTGCAGGACACACCACAACTTAGGCTTTCAACTTGCTTAAAGAAGCTACTAAATTGTCAAAGTTTCTTTTTTAACACCATGATTTTTGTAGCAATCTAGACAGTTGACATTGTTGGTCTATAAATTAAGAAACATTATGTGAACCTGAGTTCAGCAGTTTTTATGTACTACAGACAAATCCCTGCTAGTGACAATTCAAAGAACAACATAATTAATATATAAATAAATAAGTTCCTGACCTTTGCATTACAAGAACTTGCAACATTGAAATACCTGTAATATAGAGAGATCACCATCCAACTCCCCTGGCATTGAAGCATCAAATCCCCTAATCAATCATTTAACCCATCCTTGTGTAAGTTTCCATGTGTACCAAATCTTATTAGAACTTGAAAATGAAAGGAAATTTTTAGAATAAACTATCAAAGATTACTTCCAACGTATCCTGTTCTTCAGCTTCTTTTCAATGAGACCTATTCCTTCCAAAACATTTGTAATGTCATATATCCGCCTCTTCTGAACCTGTTTCATTTGTAAAACCGTCAATCAGTACACCACCAAATGCAGAGAATTTGTGTTAGTGTGTATATATATACACCCTGACAGAAAATGATTACCTCCAAAGTTTCTGCTGCTTTGTTTAGATCAAGAATTCCATCCTCTGCACGCTTAATCAAATTGATGAACTTTTTTGTCAACAGACCTGGACAATTTAAGCACAGTTATATCAAAGTGACACCATATGACAGCCTTGAGAACTCTAAAAACCACACATGTCAAAGAGAAGAAAACTCATTCTCCGATTACCTAGAGAACTGTCATAACGACAGCTTCCGGCTGGAGTAGAAGGGGAACCTGCATGTTATTGTTGACAGAAGCAATCCAATTAGATTCTTAATATCTATGGAACAAGATAGTCGACAGTTCTAGGTGTATTTAATCCAGGGAGAAAGAAGACTTCATTAATATCAACAATGCTATGCAAGCTCTTTCTCGTGGACGGCTCCATCTGAAGCTCATCTTGGTGATTCTCAAGTTAGGTCAAAACTGTAGAGGTCAAGCAAAAAACTTAAGAGATAAGAAGACTCACCAACAATTGACACAGGCGTCTGAGGTCCGGATCTACCACCCTTGGAAGCCTTTGACCTGTTGTTTACCCTTCCCCCTTTTGCAGACACAGGAGTCTGAAGGGGACTCTGTATAACATTAGTATTTCCAGGACTGCTGGTCCAATCACTGTACCCTACTTCATTGTTGTCCTTCTGAGTAAGTTGCTGAAAAACACCAGCAAAGTCAAAGGATGCTCATTAAAAAAATAGGCACAAGGTGACTTAGCAACCATACTACTTAAAATGCCTGTAGTGGCTATGCGACATTATGATCTCGGTGAGATGAACACTGGAAATCAATCTAGATGAAATGGAGGATGGAGAATGGAACTGCTATCGTTGTCATTATACCCAATTACCCCACACCTGATCAAGAAACTAACACACCCCATGAGCAACAATTGATTCTAAATAGGAGCCAAATACTACAACTTGAAAGTCTACTTCCAAATCAGTACCTTCACTCCAGATTAGGCAACACATTTAAGTGCGATGCACCTCAACACCATATCATTTCTCAGTCTTCCCCTCATCGCCAACATTTAGCACAATACTTCACCTTGACAAGTTGCATTATGCACTAGACTTACAATTGTCGTTTTTCTCCGGTTGCAAATAACAATTGCAGTTTTGGGTTAGCCAAACT